ACAGAAGCCCTTCTCGCTTTCATCTTAGGTCCCCCCGAGAAGGGGGCAAGGCCACCCGAAGCCTTTCCCACCCCCCCCCTCGCGATGCCGCGAAGTTACTGGAGCAGCGCCCGAAAGCGCTCCAGAGCCAGGCCGTTTCGCTGAGCAAGGGAGCCGCCGGCCCTTCCGACAACGAGGCGCTGCCTCCTTTGCGCTTCTGTCCCATTCTTCTTTTCCCTTCTTCTTTCTACCTTCTCTTCCTTTTCTCCTCTCCTCTTACCTTCCTTTCCCTTCTTCCCTTCCCTTCTTCTTTCTACCTTCTCTTCCTTTTCTCCTCTTTTCTCCTCTTTTCTTTTCTTCCTTTCTTTCTACCTTCTCTTCCTTTTCTCCTCTCCTCTTCCCTTCTTTCCCCTTCTTCCCTCCCCTTCTTCCCTTCCCTTCTTCTTTCTACCTTCTCGTCCTTTTCTCCTCTTTTCTTTTCTCCTCTTTTCTTTTCTTCCTCTCTTTCTACCTTCTCTTCCTTTTCCCCTCCTCTTCCCTTCTTTTCCCTTCTTCCCTTCCCTTCTTCCCTTCCCTTCTTCTTTCTACCTTCTCTTCCTTTTCTCCTCTTTTCTTTTCTCCTCTTTTCTTTTCTTCCTTTCTTTCTACCTTCTCTTCCTTTTCTCCTCTCCTCTCCTCTTCTTCTTTCTACCTTCCTTTTCTACTCTTTTATTCTCTCTTCCTCCTCTTCTCTCCTCTTCTCTTCGCTCTCTTGATGGAAACTAACCAAGGAGAGAAGCAAACTAGAACTAAGGAGAGACTTTCTAACAGTGAGGACCATTAATCAGTTAACCAGTGGGGAGAGTTAACGATTTGCTTCCAGAAGTTGTGGGTGCTCCATCACTGGAGACGCTTAAGAGGAGACTGGACAGCCACTTGTCTGGTGTGCTTGAGCAGGGGGTTGGGCTAGAAGATCTCCAAGGTCCCTTCCATCTCCTCTCCTCTCCTCTCCTGTTTCAGTAGCTGGAAACCGGGCTTGCTGCTCCTGTGGCCAAAGTTTCGAGCGCGGGATTTCTCCGGGCTCTGCCACAAAAGCTTCTCCCGGCTCCCCTCTGGCTGCGAAGCCAGCCAGGCTCCTCCGGGCAGGCGTCCCACTTCAGCCCGAAGCTGCCCCCCGAGGGCGCTTCAGCGTTTTGCGGCGGCTGCCTAGAAGAGGCAAAATGCGGGAGAAGAGTTTCCTGGACTCTTGGTCCAAAGCGACCCCAGGGCTCCAT